CACAGGATCTAACTTTATCCACTGTGCCATGTGTCCTTAAGGACATCTGTGTATAAATCTCTGGGTATTATCAACCTAATGTCATCAGCAACCATTTTTTTACCAGTGTTCATATTGCAATTTTTGCTGTTATTAATACATGTTTTTACCAGAGCACATATTGCATTTTTTGTTGTTATTATCGCTTTTCTCTGGCACTGCTGATTCCTTAAGTTTCCAAATTTTCCAATGGTGTTCTTTGTCTATGATCACAATCTGATCCCACAGAGGGCGGTGATCTCTCTTTTCTCTCCATATGTGGTCAGCCACACCTGATTTTTCCACTTCCCCTCATGTTACAGCTTTCTGTTGTACACTCCTGCCTTCTTCAGGTGTTTGGAATTTCAAACTGAACCCTTTATTTCATCCACCAGGGTAGATTGTTTTAGTTCCATGTGCCATGCCTCTTCCAGATGTCTCAATTCTCCAAGATTTTGGTTCACCACTGCTGTAGCTTAGTATTGAACTCACAACTCTTTGGATCTAGTCACTGGATCTAACCAACATCTTTATCTACTGGGCCATGTGTAAATAATCACAATACCTCATCTTGGAGATATAAACAGATATTAATATTAAACTTTAGTAATATTATAAACTTTTATTAATATTAAACTTATTAGTAAGAGCAGTTAAGAAGAACTTCCTATAAGCAGTCAGTCAAAAGTTTTAAAATCTATAAAATACATATAAATCCTTTATCATTGAGTAGATTGTTACATTGAACTTAAAGTTCACACTCTGGGGATTTATTCGAGATATAGGGTGTTTCAGTGAGACATTTCTTTGTAAAATAAAGTCACACTTGGCAAAGAGCTTCATTTAATTACAGTGAGTTTTAAATTCAAATGACTTATTTAAAATCTGTAAGTCATGAACTACAAAATCAAGCAAATACAAAAAAATGAATTATCTGAGTAGTATTTAACTGAGGACACAGTGAAGTAGTGAAAGATGCCTTCTAAAAGCTAAGAAAAGTATTAAGAAAAAAGAAAATCTCAAAGAAAACAGTACTAAACTTTTATGTAATATCAATCCTCCTAGATGGTAGTGAATACTGGACAATCTCATCACAGATGTAGAAGAGGCTTGAGTCACCAGAAATATGGTTCCACAGAAGGATGCTGAGAATACCATGGGCCAAACCTGTGAGTAAAGACAAAGTTTTAGATAAAATAGAAACAAAAAAACACTTATAAATAAAAAAGAGACAATTGAAATTTCTCAGACATAATGAGGATAGTGGTCTTGCAGAATTTGAAACATACTGACGTAGTGAAGGCAAAAGGAACAGAAGAAAATAGAAAATAACTTAACAAGTACAAATGATTGCCAGAACAGTGATTAGAAGTGATAGCAAAAAGACAAACTTTACTAAGAGCGAAAACGGTCTGGATATTTTAGTGAACCATGATTGCCTATGTCCTGAATGGACATAGTACATAGAACTACATATGTGTAAAATGCGTTAATTTGCACAAAATGGATATAAATCAATTTAAATATAGCAAAAGGAAAGATTCTTAATCAGGAAAGGAATGTAAAGACTGAAAGAGAAATGGATCTGTACTGAGTGTTAAGATTTCAAGCTAAACCGTTTTTTTATTAAAATATTGCTACTTGATCATGCACCAGTTATGAAAAGGTTCCTCTAAGAAAAATATTTAACAGCACTCATTGAAATTTGGGGGTGATGTTGCTTATTCAGGCAATTTTGGGAAAAGGTCAAGGTTCAATAGTAGACTTCTCTCAAATGAATAAATAGACTATTCCAAACATGAAATTTGCTACTCTGAATAATTTTGTCAGGGCAAAGTCTGCTAAATGATGCAACCTGAACAGGTGTAGGGGATTTTTTTTTTAAATATTTATAAGAGCAAATATACATGAAAAAGAAATGTTGCCACTTAAGAAATAATTGATGTGTATTTTCTGAACTACTTTACAGACGAGCATTAAGAGTTGGTCTAAGGAGATTTTTTTTTTTACTATCATGCTATCAAGTATAAGCACTCAAGTGACTTAAAAGAAAAGGTCACCTTGCAGCATATCAAATTTAGGAGAGATATTTGAAATATGTACAAAAAGATAAATTTCTATCATAGAATCTTTTTGAAGAATATTAATTTAACATCTTTTTTAAATGACCTCTAAATTTTACTTTTAATCTATATTTTTCATACTGTTGTTCACTAAAAACAAGACCCATGGGCCAATCAATTTAGTGGGTCACTGAATGAGGTCACTGTTAGAGCAGAAAGGGAAAAAGTAAGAAGGATATTATGAGGATATGTAGGTTAGATAACTGATCATGGCATTAAAGAGGTTAAGATCATGGTGATTGTAGAAGCATCTTTTTGGGAGTCTGTTCCACAAAGTAACAGTTCTTGAGAAAAAGCTGTCTTAGTGGAACTTGTTCTTTACTAATGGAATACAATGGGAATTAGGATGAGTTAACATTGTGCATGTGGTATCATGTGCCCTAGATATGAATGTCAAGTAAAGCAACAGTTCTTAAGAAAAAGCTGTCAGCATGGAACTTGTTCCTTACTAATGGAATACAGTGGGAATTAGGATGAGTCAACATTTTGTCAGTGGCATGGTGTGTCCTAGCTATGAATGTCTGAGCATTTTAATATATTAAAAAATGTAAGTTAAATGAACTTTGTGCAAATTCTCCCACAAATAAAATATGTTGTACTGATAGTTATTCATCATGAAAGATAATAATTTCCTTTCTTGTTAACTCTGAAAGAAGATTAATGAGAAATAAGAACTTATGATTATTTTGATCACTTTTAATTAGATTAGTTTTGTCTTTCATTTGTATTATTATTGTGAAATTATTATGAGTAAGACTTTAATTCAAAGAGAGAAATGGAGTTACTAACTGTTGAACTGGACACTGAAAATGGGTAAAAATATTTTGTCTATTAATTAATTCTATAATTTATTTATTTAAATGTCAATGTAAAGCTAACTACATTAGGAAATCCACTCAACTTCTAGAGATGAGAGCTGCTCATATTATCCCGGCTTACATTAGAAAAGGTTGACTGGATAATTTGCATAAGTTTGCTGTCACATCCAAGTTTGCAATCACAGAACACCTTATACCAAATCGGGAATGTGCATTGTCCTTTTGAGAGGACATGTTCTCTTTTCTATGCAGGTTACATTCTAATTGTTATTTAAAAGTCCTTGAAACTATTTTCATTGATTCAATCCAATATTCCTCATATAAACAGAAGAAATGGTTGTTAAAACTGAACATGATTTGTTTATAAGAATATAGCTATCTCAATATATTAATGATATGCATTTTCTTTTTCATATGTTTCCTTTTTAGTCAGTTGTGCACAAAAATTTTATTTTCCTTGATCGAGTTTTGATCATTGAGGAGTGATAACTGGTTACTCATTTTGTTATTTTATTTATTATTCTTTTTTATTTTATTAAACTACGAAAGTTGTTTTCCCTTTTTGCCCCATTAATGATATCTGTAGATTTGTTATAATTAAATTTTGTACTTCTAACGAAACCTTCAAGTGTTTCATTTTCCATGTCTTTAATATATAAATCAATGAGTAACAAAATCAAAACATATACTTATTTCTTTTAATTTCTGCATAAAAATAATAGGTTGAAATGGTCTTTTTTATTGTTAGACATATACTTAATGGCCACTTGAACTCAACCTGCTTATATTATGTTATATTTTATTATATATTATGTTATATACTGCTAATATTACGTTATATTATATATTGTTATATACTGCTAATATTATGTTATATTATATATTATGTTATATTATATATTATGCTATATTATATATTATGTTATACACTTATTAAAATAGCCATGTTAGCTTTATCATCCTTGAAATTAGCCTGCTGGTATAATTTTTATATACTTATTAAAATAGCCATTTGAATGTAACTTACTTATATAACTGTTAAAGACTTATTAAACTAGTCACTTACACTTTATCATTCTTGAACTTAACCTGCTTTCTCCAGCCTTCATCAATTTGAAATTCATAAAAAAATTAAATTTGTAACAGAGAGATTACTTATTTTTATATAGAACAAAAAATTATGGCACAAGGGCAAGAAATTGAAGAAAGAGGAAGAAGATAGTCTTCAATATCTTATCATTAACTTAGCTTGTCACATTTACTGACCAAATCAAACTTCATTCTTTGTTTGACTTCCTTCTTTAGATACCATGTCTGATGCACGCTTGGGTGATCATGGATCTTTTCTTTATGATGGACTTGGCAGAAGAGTTCCCACAGTTAGCTGCTGTTACATTCTGCAATAAACTGGTTGCCAACCAAGACTATAGGATCCAGTCTATTCTGTTATTTAACCCATAGCTGGGGAGGATAAGAAATGATTTCAGACCTTTACCAAGAATATTTGCACATAAGTGAATGTAATGAACTCAATATCTGTCTGTATCTTTGAGATGAGGTATTATGATTATTTACATTATTTACATTATTCAAACTGTTATCCTCAGCTTCATTGCCAGATACACAATGCTTCGGCCATTTCACGCTCCGACCTTCTTCAGGTGATTGGAATTTCGAACCAAACCCTTTGTTATCGTCCACCGGGGTAGATTGCTCTAGTTCTACATGCCATGCCTCTTCCAGATGTCTCAATTATTTAAGTTAAAAGGGAAATAACTGAAACATCTGGAAGAGGCATGGCCCGTGGAACTGGAACAATCTACCCCAGTGGACGAAATAAAGGGTTTGGTTTGAAATTCCACTCACCTGAAGAAGGCTGGAGCATGCAACGTGCCGAAGCGTTGTGAATGTGGCAATGAAGATGATGATAACAATCTGAATAATGTAAATAATGTAAGTCATGAACTCAATTGGAATTTGAACTAAACTTTCTGGTTTCTCATTCTAAGCTATTATCCATCACACCACTTGCACATCCAAGCTTACAGCACCTTGTATTCCCAAATAGTCACCCATGTAGATACTGACTAGACTCAATATTGCTTAACTTCAGTGATCAGATGTGAACCAGTGTTTCAATGTGATATGACCATATGCTTCTTTGATTATATCACATTTATTCTGAAAATCTTTCTTATTACATTCACCAAAAGATTCTATTCTTTGTAAGAAAATTTTTAACTAAACCATGTTTACAGTCTCTCTAGAGCATAGGGCTAAAATGTTATGGGTCATTTTATATGGCAAGTGAATTCATACAAACTTCAATGTAACATTAATATATACCAATAGACCTCAATATTCAACATTCCAAGACCACTCTTGGAAGCTTAGATGCACTGTAGGAGCCCTGCAACCCCAAAGGAATTTAAATCTCTCTTGCTCATTTAGATTAATAAATAGGAGTTAAATTACTGAGAGTCTGTAAAGGATCAGAGGGTAACTTTCAAATGCATATCTCAGTTTTCCTCTTTAAGGTATGATTCCTTTGTGACCAAAGAATAATTTCAGACTCAGACTTCTCCCTTTCCTCCAGGTCTTGACCTCCAGTTGGAAAGCAGTTGGAAATCAGGACAAACTCAGATGCTGAGGATCTTTTACTGCCTGTTCATCCAACTGAAGTGGTTAAGGAAAGAACAACTTCAGGAAATTAAATGCAAGCCAACAGACATGATTATTTTTGTTTCTTCTTCCATTTAATACAAATTGAGTTCTTTGCTAATATTCTTAATTTTGGCATTGGTTGTTAAAAGCATGGAGACATTATCAGCATAGCTAGAGTACATGGTCAAAATGCTGGAATTTGAAAAATATGGTTTCAGTTTTTTAAATTTAATTTTCATTTTTTAAATTTTCAGCTTGTTGGAGACAAGAAATCAGGACCAAAATCTGTGAATTTGTTCTGCCAAATCCATTAATTTGTTTTGCTCATACTAAGTAAAAAAACACTATTTTCCATTTTTCTCATTGAATTGTTCACCTATATTGCATGTCATCCATTCTTGTACATAAATAGTTTACCTCCTCAAGTATAGACTAAAGTTTTCATGCATTTAGACTATTCCTTACTATGGTAAAATATCTTTGGTTTGTCATGCTTTTCTTTCTAGATTTCATAAACTAAAAATTTAAGAGATTTTAAGTCCAAAAATTTTTTGGGTGTACTTTTCTCAAGAAGTATTTTCAGTTGTGAAGACTTTGAATTTTAAATATGATGATGCTTTCTGCCAAAGTAATTTTGTAAAATTGTAAGTAATAGGTATTTTTTCTCAACATTATTACAATAAATCATTTTATTTTCTTATCCAAAATTTTCAACATTAAACAATAGATTTTGCCTATATTTTCTGAATAGAGAATGATTATTTCTGGAAAAAATGTATCTTCATAATCAGTTGAAAAATATTAATTGATAACAACCAGTGACAGACTGAGTTGGCAAACTTTCAGATGTGATAACTAATCAGACAAGTGACTGGCATTGCAATATATATATATATATATATATATATATATATATATATATATATGTATGTATGTATGTATGTATGTATGTATGTATGGGTGTTCTAATATGTAGCATTTTTCTGGGGTGTTTTATTTTGTGCATTTTTGCAGGGGAAAAAGGAGAACAGAGATAAACAAAAATGCTTATAGGTGTAACAGCAAAATTGTCCAAATCATGTAACAGCATAATTGTCCGTTCCACAAAACGTTTAATATCTAAAAACCACTGAACTAATTGAGTTTCTTTTTTTCCAGGCCTTCATATAAGATGTTTAGCCATCTTCACACCATTTGTTGTAAGAATCACTGAAATGCCCTTTGAGTTATTTAGCTAAAAACAGAACAGGATAAAATCGTTTATTATGTCAGCTCCACTGTCTTTCCAAATGAGCAATGGTGAGAGAAAAAAGATCATTCAAGATTTCAATAATGGTACCAACATTCATACTCTAGCTTCCATCTTCAAATTCAATTCAAGAACCATTGAGAGAATGGTGAATAAGTTTTAAAAAAGGAACAGTATAGAGGAAAACTGGAAGAGAGATCATCATTTCAACTTAGAGTTAAAGAGATCAATTAGAAAAGATCCAACTTAACCCATAAGATGTTTAGCATATGAGAGAGGCATTTCAGCTATGACAGTTCAATGAGCAGTGAAAAAAGACTTGAAAATGAAATCGTACATGAAACGTGTGAAGCATTTTGTTACTCCAGGACAGAAAGTTCAATGGTTAGAAAGGGCAAAGATCATCTTGAATAAGTTGTAAAATTTTTCTGGAATAATATATACATATTTGAATTTAATTTCAATCCTTCATATTCTGGCTCTTAGCTATGATTAATTAATGATGAACATGTCATTTTTGTTTATGATCGATTTCATCATGATTTTTCTGTTAAGTTGGAGAGTAATTATACATTCTTATTGCTCAAAGTAGAGCCCAGTAGTGTTATAAAAACCTTGAAGAATTCCAATATGATATCTTTAATCATTTCTCAGATGCGACAGTTCAAAGCTTAATCTAACAAATGGGCAATTTTGCTGTTACATGGTTTGGACAATTTTGCTGTTACACCCGGTATGTTTAACAAATGCTTACACTTGGTATGTCTAATAAATGCTTGCTTATTATTCATTTAATAAACAAGAATTTGTAATAAAGTTTTTGAATGTAGATGCAAATTTCTAAGTACCATCTTTTGCACACTTTTAGCTAAATATCAGAAGTGTGTATGAAGTTTGCTAATTTTTTTATTGCTTGTAAAAATCAGTTAGCCGCAGTCCATCATTTACAAAACTTAGGAAAAATTCTAGTGCAAGGTGAGTATGCTTGACATGAATTAGCAGAAAGAATCATCTGTCATCGTTTAAACACACTTCCTTTTAACTCCCTCTTCTTTTACTCAATATAGAAAGAAAAGTAATTTTTGGACAAGATAGTCACTCATGATGGAAAAAGATATTTATTACAAAATGATGATGTTTGGGAGAGGTTTTAGCATCTCAACTTAAATCTGCTGGGAAAAATTCTTCTCTCCGTCTGGTGTTTGTTGGAATCCAACGAGAATTCATGATTATGAATTGCTGCAGCCTGGAAAAATTGTTACCCATGAGCTACAATGAACAATCGGTGCATTTGAATGATTCATTAGAACAGAAAGGACCTTTTTTGAGAGGACACAGAGTTAGCTCATGATGTTGCAACATATCAATGCACTCATGACAGTTAAAAATGTATCACAGAATTTTATTAGGAAGTTCTTCATAAGCAGAAGATTCTGTAAAAACAATCCCTTCAAACTAACATATGTTTCACTCACTGCAATATTCTTTATCTTGTCAGCAGTTCCAAGAAATTAAAGATATCGGAAAATTTCCCAAATAATTCATGAAAAAAAACTGTGGTCATTGATTTATAATGGAATTGACAATTTATCTTAAATTATAATGGTAAGTAAGGATTCAGCATTCGCTGACTGAGAGACCAGTGGTATGCATAGGTCTATTAGTGCTTCAGGTGAGGATTGTGACTGACACCACATCCATCCCACCGTAAACAAAAACAAAATTTGTTCACAAAGGTTTATCACAGTCAGTTAGAGGGAATGTTTAAATAAAAATAACATTAACATACTATACCAATTTGACAAATTTTATTTATTTAAAGATTATAGATAAAGTTGACAAAGGGATTCATTTGTAAATCATTCCTTAATCATATTTTATTGTTTTAACACTAAAACTACAGAAAGCTGAACATACCAATTAAAAATAACTAAAAATTGACAGTTGATAAAAATAAATGAAAAAGAATTTCAACTCAGTAGTAGGTAGATAAAATTTTAAAACTAAAATTAAAAACTATTTTATTTATTTTTAATATCTAATTTTAGCTAGATAAAAAAAAAAAAATTATGTTTCTTCTTCTTCCTTTGTTGCAACAAAAATAATATATTCCATCGGATGCACATTCAGGAGTGCCACTGCCCTGTTGCCCCCCACCTCCTTGCATGCCACTGACTGAGAGATCAGCGCTGAAATTTATAAAATCTTTCTACTAAAAATTTTTTTCAGAATTTTCTCAATTCCAGTAGCTGTTATTACTCTTTCCAGTATTGATGGAGTCTTCCTTCCTCACTTTCATTTTCTTGATTATATCATTATTTTCTATTCAAGTTACAAGTATTACCCATTTTAATTGTTGCTGCTCTTGAAAGTCCTCAAGTGATGTGGTTTCTGTTATCTGGTACAATTCTTTGTTTATGATTCTTTAATGCCAATTCACATGGTTCAAAGAAGGATAGTCCTCACTAAGACCTACTGGCTTCATTTGCTCAAAGCCACCTGTAATCATGAATCTTGGAAAGTGGTTGTATATAGTTGAAAGTTTAGATATTTCTGAATGGGTATGATACCATGCATGATGTCTGTATAAAAGTTTTGATCTGAGAAGGCAATTTAAAAACATAGCTCAAATTTTTAGGTTAATGTTTTAGTTTTGTAGCAATTTGTAGCATTGTGCAAAACTACCTAAGGATTGCTGCAAATTGCTAAAAAACTAAAACTAAATATCCTGCCTATTCTGTATTCAGAATTATCACTTCTACTAAATTTGAAGTTATTTGAAGCATTTAGTATTTACTAATACCAAATCCTGAATTTTTATAATGGCTTCATGGACATGTCATCATTAACTTCATTTTAATTCCAAAATCATAGTTTCCATTTTAAAGAGTTTTATCTTGAGTTCTGTTTCTTGAAACACTTGCTAGAGGATGTTGATTTTTTTTCTTCATGAAAGAAAGGTGGTATAAGGTAATGGAAAATCTGGGAAAATATTTTGATGACTGAATAATGATACTCTGAATTTTTATGAATAAAACATTTTTTTCAAAAATATGAAGGAAAACTTTACATCAATCTAATAATAAGTTCTGTGAAAAGGAAGAAAATTATGGAGCCAAACAATTATAAAAGTTTTTGAAATGCCAAAGGATAACATGATTCAGCCCATCAGACTAGATCTAATCATTGTAGATAAGGAAAATAAAATCTATCAGATTGTGACTGTACCAGTGGATCATAG